CCGACGCCGCAATCCCCATCGAGCGCGCCGACGACGACAGGCTCGGAAAGGGATATCGAGAGCGGGGCATGTCGCTGCAGATGCGACCGCTGCCCCGACAGCGACCCCCTGCATGAGTGGCCATGTGGAAAGAACCCCCTAGGCATTTTAAGTTTCCGCCTTGGAAGTGAGGCCCCCGACCCTGGCGCCCGCTGCAGCCTGCCGCTTTTCGAAGCAAACACTTATCCGCAAACAAGCAGTGGAACGCCACGTGGTACTGCGCACTGTGCTTGGTGGATCTCTGGCGTCTTCAACGCGGGGGCGAAGCGCCCCGGCGTGGGCTACCATGGCGCGGGCAATGGAGTCGTCGGCCTCGCCCGGCATGGGCCGCGGAGAAGCGCGGGCGAGGGCTTCCAGGCCACCGATGACCCCCACCACGAGCGCGGGGCGCTGGGGGGGTCGAGCGCGAGGACGCCGCCAAGTACACTGCCCGCGGGGCGGGGGGGCTGCGCGGCCGAGCGGTCGCGAGATCGGCGCCGCACTCTTTCCGCCGCGGCGGGCGGGCTGCGGCCGGGGCTGGGCGGCGGGGGCGCTCGCGGTCTGCCCTCTGGCGCGCTCGCGGTCGGCTGAGCGGCGCCAGCGGCCGCCTCCGGTCGCGATGCGGCGGGGGGGGGCGGCTGGAGGGGCGGCTGCGGGAGCTGTCGCGGCTGCCGCCGCTGCGGCCCGTTGGCTAGGGGCCCCGACCGAACCAGCGCTGGCCCAGGTTCTGGGAGGCCACCCGCCTGGAGGTCCTGGCGCACCGTCGGCGGACAAGGCTGACGGCCCGCGGGCGCCAGCCCCCGGTGTCGGGGCGGCCCCAGCCCTGACGGGCGCCGGGCGGGCGCGCTGGGCGGCCCCGCGCGCCCGGGGCGCTGGGGGGCGCGAGCACTGGTGCCCTGGCCGGGGGGGGAGGGGGGGCCGGGCGCCCCCGGGGCGCGCCGCGGCTGCCCGATGGCGCCAGCAGGGCCCGCCCGCGGCGGACGTTTCCGCCCGGGCGAGCTGGCGGGGAAGACCTGGGGCCCATCCCGGGCGAAGATCGCCCGGACATCAGTGGACCGGGCGTGGGCGTGGATAGAGTCCCTCTGCAAGGAGTTTCTCCCCAGCATCAACGGCGCCACCGCCCCGGAGTCAGGGGCCCCCCGGGGGCGCGGCGTGGGGCGGGGAACGCGCCGCCCACCCCATCGGCTACCTCCACGGCCAGAGGTGCCAGCCCGCCTTCGGGGATGACCGCGCGAGAAAAATCTACGATACGATTTGGTGCAGTTTTGCTCTGGTGAAAAGCCCGCAGTCCTCTCGCCGCCAACGGCAACCGGGCTGCCCCCTCTCTCTTAAGGACCGACACAGAATTCATCAGAGCACGCGCGGTGGTGGTGTATAGAATTCTGGCAACCAAGATGAGCGATTTTTCTACGCCACCACCAAGAAGTGCTGTTTCTGCTTCAGGAGCTCCCCGTCCCGCGGCGCCTGCGAGCTGCGCCGCGCTCCTTTTCGCCGCGGCGTCGCAGCGTCGTCTGGCATGGCCCTGCCCCTAACCATTTCTGCGGTAAATTGCAGTTGCGGGCGGTGGTGGTGTATAACAATTGGCCTCGCAAGAGACGCGACCGGCGCGCGAGGGGCAAGTGGCGCGACCCTGGCCAGTTTAGCCGGGGGCTGCTTCTCGGCTTCCTGGAGCCAGGGCGCCGCGGCGAACGACGACGCCGTCGACCGCGCGCCCGCGGACCCCCCCCCTGAGGCCCGCCCGCCCCGCCCCGCAGTGGGGCCTCGGATTCGAGCCTTTCCGCGCGTTCCCTGCCGCCAGCGAGCCCCGTGCCAAAGGGCGGGGGGCCCGCGCCGCCCAGCCCCCGCGGCAAGCCCCGCGCGGAGGCGGGGCGGCGGGGCAGCGGCCCGGAAGGGGGGCGGACCCTGCGGGCGCAGAGCAATCCGACGGCGGGCCCGCGCCCGCCGAGACCCCTGGCTAGTGGCGCGCAAAACCTCGGGCCGTGGAGCACGCCCGCTCCGCTCACCCCCCGCGGCAGGGGCAGGATGAAGCCAGCGCCTCCGGCGGGCGCGAGCGGCGGGCTTGCCCGCCTGACCGCGCCCGCCGCGCGGCGCATTTGCCGGCCCGCTACCTTCCTCGCCGCGACCCCCGCGACTCGCTGTGCTGCAGGCCACGCCAGGCCATTAAGTGGCGTCTCTTGTGGAACTGCGCCTGAAGTCGTCAACCGCCTCGAGCGGGGGCGCGGCCCCGTGCTGGTCATCGGGCGGGGTGCCTCTTGGTCGCCGGGCAGGGCGCCGAGGGCGCGTGCGACCCCGGGGGCAGGGGCCAGATCTGCGAAAACTTGGCAACCCAGCTCGTCGACGAAAACTTCGACATCCGCAACCTGTGCCAGAGACGCGGCGTCAAGGTCGATTGGCGCCAAGCCTGGGGCAATAGGGGGTCCAGGAGAGGGAGCGCCTCTCTGGGCTCGGCAAGGGCAAGGGGAAAGGCGTGGAGCACCCCAGGAAAGGCGCGCGACGCGCCGATTCAGCCTGTCCCGGCAACGAGCGCTCCAGGCAGCGGCGCCTGGGGAGCTCTAAGAAGTCTACCTGGTACTAATCGCGGAGATCCGGCTTGATCCCGGCCAAGTCCCGCGGCTCTCGGGCCGGTCCAGCTATGCCGCGGCGTCAGCCTCGACGCCTCGCTCCGAGCTGCTGCGCCCCTGCCCCGCAGCCCGGCGCCCGCGCCGCGCCCCCCCCCGCGCGACTTCCCCGCGCGCCCCTCGCCCAGGCCCGCGCCCAACCCCACGCCTGGGGCTGGGCCGCCGCCCGCTCGCCCGACAGCGCGCCAGTTCGGTGCCCCCCCCGCGCCCCGCCGGCGCGCGCTTCCCCGGGCGCCGCGGTGGCCCCCCCCCGCCGCTGGAGCGTTCCTCGCCCAGCGCGCCCACGTCCTCGGTGCGCGACGTTCCGTCGGACTCCCCTGGCGCGAGGCCGCCCCCCCCTCGCCCTCGCCGGTGGCCGAGGCGCTGGCCCCGCCAGCTCGGGTCGGGCGCTCTTCGCCCGCCGCGTGGCTTCCAGCTGTCGCGTGCCCGCGAGCCTCGGCCGGCGGCGGCCTGGCTAGCTCTTCGCTCTCCGCCGCCTGCTCGGCTTCTGCTGGGGCGGATTGCGCCATCCTGAACGACTTTCGCGGGCGCGGTTCTGCCCCCTGGCCCTCCAAGCCTCGGCGGCGCCCAGGCTCCCTAGCGGCGGGGCCCGCGCGCTTTGTCTTTCTCCCTGGACCTCCCTCGACGGGGCCTCCGTCTGCTGACTCTGCGCCAGTTCGGTGCTCTCGCTCCCTGGCGGCCTTCGCCATTGCGCCAGGCCTGCCTCCTGGCCCTTCGGTCGCGCCGCGCCGCCTCGACCGCTCGCTGCTCCGGCAGCTTGCGCGGGCCTTGCGGGTCTTCGGTGCCCCGCGGGGCCGAGGCTCCTCTTCCTTTCCGCCTTCGTCGCCAGCCCTGGCTGGGCACTGGCTCCTCGATCCAGCCCGCTGCCCGCTGCCCGTCTCGGCGCCTCCCCCGCTCGCTGGGCACCTCCCCCCGCCCTCCCGCTTTGCCTCGCCGACGCCCAGGCTCCTCGCCAGGGCTCCGCGCTCTTTGCCTTTTCTCCTTGGCCCTCCCGCTTCGGGGCCTTCTTCTATTGACAGTGCGCCAGTTCGGTGTCTCTCGTTCCCCAGACGCCCACGCCCTTGCGGCGGGCCTGCCTCCCGGCCCTGTGGCCGCGCCCGCCCCCTCGCCTGGTGGCCCTGGGCTGGTCCTGCCGCCCGCGCCCCCCCTACCCCGCCCCCGCTTTGCTTGGTTCTCAGGCCAACTTCTCACCTGGAGGAGGTTTCGCACTGCACCGCCTCGGCCGTTCGCTGCTCCAGCAGCCTACGCGGGCCATGGGTCTTCGGTGCCCCGCAGGAACGGGGCTCCGTTCCGCGTCCGCCTTCGTCACCAACCTCGGTTGGGCACTGGCTCCTCGCTTCGGCCCGCTGGCTTGCAGCCTACCTCGGCGCCCCCGTCCGCCCCCCGGCCCGCCGCCGCTGGTCTCTTCCCCCTGTGGCGCCGCCCCCGCCGCGCGCCTGGCCCCGCTCTGGGGGGCCTAGCTTCCCCCTCGCTCCCGCCGCCGCCGCCGGGCGCCTCCTCCCTCCCCCCCCTGCGTGGTGATTAATATGCGTTTCGTGCGCGCACCAACGCCCTATCGCCAGCGCAGTGACTTCACCTAAATGTGTGTGTGTGTGTGTGTGTGTGTGTGTGTGCCTCTCCGCCTCGCTGCTCTCGCCTTCGTCGTTGCCCCGTCGTCCCACGATCGTCGTCCTCATCTGGCCAGGTCGTCTACCCTGCATCCTCAATCTATGTATGTATGTATGTATGTATGTATGTATGTATGTATGTATGTATGTATATGTATGTATACATGTATGTATGTATGTATGGATGGATGGATGGATGGATGTATGTATGTATGCATGTATGTAGGTGTATTTGTATGTATGTATGTATTTATGTATGTATGTATGTATGTATGTATGTATGTATGTATGTATGTATGTGTGTGTGTATGTATGTATGTATGTATGTATGTATGTATGTATGTATGTATGTATATGTATGTATGTATGTATGTATGTATATACGTATGTATGTATGTATGTATGTATGTATGTATGTATGTATATATATATATGTATATGTATGTATGTGTGTATGTATGTATATGTATGTATGCATGTATGTATGTGTATGTATGTGTGTATGTATGCATGCATGCATGCATGCATGCATGTATGTATGTATGTATGTATGTATGTATGTATGTACGTACGTACGTATGTATGTATGTATGTATGTATGTATGTATGTATGTGTGCATGTATATATGTATGTATATATACAAAGTGTATATATTCATATCTATACATACATGCATGCATTTTTATTTATATATATATATATATATATATATATATATATATATATCAAGACGTGTCGCAGACACCCCGCGGCAAGGACGACAAGATCGACGAACTCGATCATTTTGTCAAGCTGACCGAAGAGAACCGCAGGGAGCGGCAGCGCCGCATCGACGCCGGAGATGAGACGGCCCGCCTGCCCTTCCTTGACGCAGTGGTTGCGTGTGTCGAGTCGTCTGTGCTGGGGTTGCGGGAAGGCTGCTGGGAAGCTTCGGGGTCAAGACTCCCACGTGCCGTCTTCTATTTTTCGCCTCGCGTGTGCAGTCGGGGGCAACAGTCTGACGAGGAAAAGGTACCCGTACCTCTACCCTTCCGTCGTTGTTCCCCTTTTGGGTCTTTGGGGAGGCCCCTGTCGCCACGCACATCAGGAGAGGTCCGGGGTGTAGCGGTATCGGTACCTTTTAGTTTCCCCAAGTTCGGTAGCAACTCATGGGAGTTGTAAATGTCCTCGGAGCTAGGGTGCGTGAGCGTGCGGTAGCGTCTGGTAATCGATGAGAGCGCCGATTTAGCGCCTGTTGGCGCCGATTTTGCGTCGATTAGCGTCGACTGGGGTCGGTTCGCGTCGAGGAATTTCGTCTCGCAAGAGCCAGCAAGATGGCATGGGAGGCTCCCATGAGCTGCCACAGATCAACAGGTCAAACTGATTGGCTGGCGAGGTCGGTGCATATTGACCCAGCTGTACCCCCGTGACGGGGGCGCTGCGGTGATGCGTGGATAACGATTAGAACGATCGCGTGGGCTCTCCCGTGGCGCGTCCTTAGATGATGCTGAACATGCTGGAAACTTTTTCTAAGTGTTTTCAAGAAACACGTTTTCGTTGTCGTTCCCCATTTGTTTTGTGGTTACTTGTTTTGCTCCGTTTTGAGATTACCGTTCGCGCCGTTTTCGGTTCGGTTCCATTTTGTACTACGGCGTTTGTGTGTTTATATGTTTTGGGTTTGTGTTTTTTTCCGTTTTGCTTGACCGACAACGAAGAAGAACGTCGCCCCAGTGCTTTTGACATCGCTTACCGGCATGTCTTCCTCTTTTCCCTTGTCCGTCACCCTTTCGATCGCCCTCACCCGTTCCCCATGCATGCAATCAAGCCTTGCCTCGTCAGGAACGCAACGTTACCAGGCAGACCAGAGATGATGGAAGTCAGTACGCACGGGTCGGCCGAAGTTGATTTCCAGCAAGCCACGAGGAGGAGGAGGAGGAGGAGGAGGAGGAGGAGGAGGAGGAGGAGGAGGAGGAGAGGAGGAGTCGAAGAGGAGGAGGAGGAGGAGAGGAGGAGAAGGAGGAGGCGGAGGAGGAGGAGGTTGAGGAGGGGGAGGGGGAGGGGGGGGGGAGGAGGAGGGGAGAGCGGGAGGAGGGGGGGGGAGGGGGAGGGGCAGGGGGGCGTCTGCAAGGCGGGCAGTTGCTTTCATGCTCAAACAGATGTGTCGCGCCTGGTGTCGCCTCTCTCTCTCGGGCGTCCGCCACGGGCAGCCGTCACGGTGGTGCGATTTCCGATCTGAGCCACGCCGCTGCGCACGTGAACGAGCTGTGCGCGCTACTTCCAGCCTGCCCAGCTCTCCCTCTCAGAGGAGGAGGAGCCGTGCGATCGCAAGCATGGATCAAGGGGGCGTGGATTGGCGACGGGTCCCGTTTCCATGAGAAATCGTGACCTTCCGCCGCCGAAAGGGGCGGCACCGGCCGCATTTTGGGGAGGGCACCTCCCCCGATCCATGTTTACCGCTACCTCCTGGGAGGCCCTCGTCGCCACTGCTGAATTCGCCTCGAATTTTCTTTCAGAACGCACCCCGGGAGAGGTCCGGGGAGTAGCGGTATCGGTGCCTTTTGGCCTCCCCCTTCTTAGGTCTTTGGCTCATCGCATGCGTCGGGCTGCCACAGCTCGCGGCATGGGTGAGCGGCGACGCCGTTGATCCAGTGATCAGTGAGTTCGTATGTATGCTGTCGTGCGCGCACTCTTGCACGTCTGAGGCACGGACAAGCGGCTCTGCCGCCATCAGCTGGGGGACGCAGGCGGCGTCGCCATCTCCGAGAACTCTCTCCTTGCCCTTCCCCCGGTTTCGCAGGCCGCTCAAACGAGGTCCGAGCAGAGGGGGGCCGAAGGATAGCACCGCATCGCCGATGCATCGCTCCGGCCCCATCTGCTCCGGCCCCATCTGGGCGGCTTCCCCGGGGCACGCCGTCGCTCGGCCCTGCGGCGGTGCGACGAGGGCGCCACGCCGGCTCGCCGCCCCCCCCCTCGGTCCGAGCGGCGCTGCCGACCCAGGAGGCCGTTTTCTGTCCCAGCTCCGTTTTCGATGACCCGGGGGCTGGATGACGGGCCACGGAGGCCGAAGTCGAGAAAAAACGTTGGGACGGAACAACTCATATCGTGGTGCAGTCGGAGGAGGAGGCGGAGGAGGAGGAGGAGGCGGAGGAGGAGGAGGAGGAGGAGGAGGAGGGCCAGCATGACCCCAAGACGCAGTGACGATGTTGCAGTCAGCCCTCCCTCCAAGTTCTCATTTCATACGTCCCCGCAATCATGTATTTTCATTTCGGGAAGTGACCCATTGAAAGACAACCATTCGAGAGTCCTGTATCGTGCCAACGCACTGTTCCTGGGACTTCAACACCGCGAATGAATTTGACTGTTGCGTCCTTACAATCCTAAGTCGTGCCAGAACGCCATTCTTGGGACTTCCGCACTATGGGTCCTCGAAGCAGCTGGAAACTTTTACAACGAATTCGCGCGGCGCTAAGACGAGAGCCACACTTTGGAAAGGAAGCGCTCTACGTCCTTGAAGCTGCTACAATCTTTTACGACGACTGTGCGCCGCGCTAAGGTGAGAGACACATGTTGCAAATCACCCGTCCTACATCTTGAAGCTGTTGCAGTTTTCAAGCTTCAGGACCAACATGGTGAGGAGGTCTCTGGCGAAACGCCTGGCCCGCCCTTCCGACCCGTCTGGGGGTGCGGCAGGGAGTTTTTTCTTTTAAAAGAATAGCAGAAATAATGAATGAGGAGTTGGAGGAGGAGGAGGAGGAGGAGGAGGAGGAGGAGGAGTTGGAGGAGTAGGAGGCGGAGGCGGAAGCGGAGCGGAGGGTGAGGAGGAGGAGGATGACCAGTGCAAACCCAAGATTCACCAATGGTGTTGGTAGCGTGTGTCATTCTTCCTCTCCCTCCTTCTCCTCCATAACTTTTTATCTTGCCGAGGCGCCGTGCCATAGGCTGGCGCATGGCTGCGCTGCTCGTTGCTCGCTCTATGCTCAAGGTACTTCTCATTGGCTCCTACAAGTGCTCATTTTCACCGACGGAACTGCCTCGTTGGGAGACAGCCGTTCGAAGACCCGGAAGCGTGCCGAAACACCATTCTCGGGACTCTAGCGCCACGGATCAACCTGACTCTTGCGTCTCGGCGATCCTGAATCGTACCAGAGCATCATCCCTGGGACCTCAACACAGCGAATCAACGTAGATGACGCGCCCTCACAATCCTGAGTCCTTCCAAAACACCATTTCTGGTACGTTGACCATGGGAACCAGTGGAATTCTTCCAAATATTTAAGGCGAGTGTGCGCGGCGCTAGAGCTAGAGCTACATTGTGAAAACGAAGCGCCCTCAATCCGTGAAACTTGTGCAATGTTTAAGAACGCATGTGTGCGGCGCTAAGGCGATATCCACATTTTGAGAACCACCCGCCCTCAATCCGTGAAGCTCTTGCAAAGTAAAACGAATGTGCGCGACGCTAAGGCGAGAGCCACAATTTGAAAACGACCCGCCCGCATTCCGTGAAGCTCTTGCGATTTTTTGGCGCTTCGCGTATTCCAACCAGCGCTGCTGACAATACTGGCTCGTGGACTGCCGCTGGGGCTGTGGTCCACCTGTCCCCTGCCAGCATCTGGCCCGCCGTAGTTGTTTTCACCCTTGGCGCATCTCCCCCGCGCCCCCCGGGGTGCCCTCCCGTGCTGGGGCAGTCCCCCCCACGGCTGGCCTCCCGCTTCCCTCGCCTGTGGCTGTGTGGCGCATCTCCCCACCAGCTTTGGCTCCCGCACCCCGCTCAAATCGCGGTTCTGCTCCCCTCGAGGGTAGGTGGCCTCGGGTGCTCGTGGTTCAGCCTGGGCATGATTCCGTGGCCTCACCCTCGCGCCGCCCAGGCGTTGGCACGTTCGAGGGCCGACCCGCTCTGGCTGGCCGACGGCCAAGATGCATGGGGTCGCTCTGACTGCTAGCTTGTGTTCTGTTCGCGTCAGTCGCCTCCCCTGGTCGGGTGGCTGCGGACTGCGCCCCCTCTCCCTACGGGGCTTTGGTGTGCGACTTCGCTGGCGCCACCACTCGTACTCGCCAGACCGTGGCGGGCATCGTGGGCCTTTCCCCGTGTTGCCCCACCCTGGTCGCACCGTGGTGCTCTTGCGCGCCATTTTGGCTGCGCTTCAGCCTCGTTTGGCCAATTCACGCGCACGCATTTGTTTCCTGGTGTTTTTTTGTGGCCCTCGGCTCAGGCCACCTTGGCAGCCTCTACAGCCACAGCGGTCGCTCACGCTTTGCATTCAAAATTAGCATCCTGCAGACCCTGGCAGTCGGTCACCCTGGCAGTCAGCACCTGCAGCCGTTGCACGGTTGTACCGCCGGGCAGTGTTGCAGCCCCGCCTCCACTCCGGCGACTTCCTGGTCCCGTTCTGAGTGCCGGTGCTAGGCCTGCTTCTGCTTGGCTAATTCGTGCCTCGCGCGGCCCGCCTGGACTTTGACACGCCGCTGCTGCGCTCTCGCTCGCGGCTGCCGACAAAAAGTATTCCAACCAGCCCAGCCAGAGACGATGCCCACGCGAGTTGCCTTGATGGTGGGAGCTTGGAGTGGGACAAATGGAGAGGCAGCCGTCAAAACGAAGCTCTGGTCAGCTTGACCAGACCCAGGAAATAGCCATGCAACTTGATGGAACATTTAGTGGGTCCTCTGGGTGTCCTGTTGGGGCCATGTGGGATTATCTTGGGGCACTCTTGGGCGCCATTCGTGCCCCCTTGGGGCCATCGTGGAGGACATCGGTCGAAGAAGTGGGGTAAGCCTTGCCGCTTCGGAGCCCGGTTCATCGTCTCGTGGGGCCCTCTCGGCACGCTCTCGGCGCGCTCTTGGGGGCTTTGGGGAATTGGAAGCTTCATGGGCTCCATGATGGGCTCTCTTGTGCGATATCATCGGCTCCATCTTGCGGCCTCAAAACCATCCGAAACGAAAAGAGGAAAGGGCCCAAATCATTGGCAATCCTCCGACGGTTCAACATGTGGCCCCTCGTGGGTATCCTGGGGAGGTCTGGTAGCGATTTGGAGCCGTTTTGGGGGAGTCTTGGGGCCTCTTGGAGGCATGCTGGAACCCACTTAAAGCCATCGTACATAGTGGATGTATCTGGGGGATATCTGGCCCATCGGGGGGTGCGCCGTCCAGACCCAGGGGGCGAAGGGGAAAACGGCGGGTTTGAAGAA